ATGCGTCAACAAAATAGAAATAAGAAAAATTGAGTTCGAGGAGGAGGAGGAGGAGGAGATGAACTGACTCCTCAACAGTAAAAGCTGGCCGACCGAACGACCGACCAGTGGCTTGTAAGTGGGTTGATTAGTGGCTAAAGCACGATATTACAGGTCTATTATATATTTTCACGAATATGTATGAGCATTTGTGAATAAGTACCCAATGTAGTTGGCGAGCACGAATGCTGTAAGACTGTTGACACTCTTTCGACGGTTGACAAGCAAATGTATGCCAATATTATTCTTCATAAAAAAATATATATTTCACTGCCCCTGTTACGAATGCGAAACAAGCGAGAAAACTTGTTTAAATCTTGACGATGAAATAAATTCACTTTTTGGTAGCCATCAGCAAAGCTAATACCGAAAATATAAATAAGTGTAGAAAGCAAAAAGTTTCACTGCGCCTAACAAGCCTACCGAATTTCCTTTTTCTGGGCAATTAGTAAGGTTTCATGGCCAGTTTGTTTGGCAAATCGAAAATAAGTATTTGAAAAGGTATATCTGATTTTTTTTTGTTAGAAATATTTATATTTGATGGCATCTTTTTGCCCTAACAACCTTACTACGGCTATGAATTCTGCGCAAAGTTCAAATCATTTACTCGTAAATACCCAAATAATTGGCAGCAAGTCGGTGGAAAAGTAGTACAAAAGCCAATTGAAGCACTTCAAATGGCGGCGAAAACAGGATTATTTGTGTTGCTGTTATGACAACGCTCTTTTGTGTAGTTAATTGATTTTGCATTCGAAGGTTTCGAAGGAGGAGAGGAAAAAAGTGAATGGAGAGAAAAGGTTATTAAAGCGTTTGGTTGGAATGAGAAAAGCGTTCAAAGTGAAAGCTTTGAGCTTATGTGAAGTGAAACCGTTGGAAAAGCACGCATTTTAACAGATAGTTTTTGGTAGAGTTTGACTGAAATACGTACATGAATTCCTAAAACTTGTTGGGAGAAGAAAAGAATGCATACTTTTCATTTATTTTTCGTACTTTTAAAGGCAAAATTCTAAAGCAAAAATGGCTTGTTCAGAGAGTGAAATGCCTCATGAAAAAGCTAAAAACTTGAAACGCCTTACCTATAGGGTTTCTTACGAGCTCAGGACGATAACTCACAAACTTAAGCCGCTGGGGCTGATTTGTTAGATGTGCGTACTACCACTCTGAAGTGGGTCGCCCCTCGGCAGGAAATGGCGAACCTCCGAGTGCTTTCATTTGATTTATTTATTTATTAATCTGCAGTAAAAATACCTTACAGACTAGACAAAGATACAAACAAGCTCAATTTGGAAATTAAAATCGTATTAAAATATACATAGGTATCATATTAGGCAATTAAATTCAGTATTTTTACAAAATTTGATCTAGATAAAGCAAAATCAAGCAGATTTGAATTATATAATACATTAAAATCCCGAAGAGAACAAGCAATAGAGGCATTACTTGCAAATATAGTCTTACAGTTTCTGCCACGAAAACGCTTCTCACAAAAACTAAAATAATATTAGGAAAGGGCAACACTGACTATGATGCGGCAAATGTTAAAGCTGTTTTTGATCGACTTTTTTGTGCTGATTACGAATATGCAAGTATAAAGTTTCCATTAGCTCCAGATTTGGAGAAAAACGAGTTCAAAATGCCAAAAAGTTGTTAAATAGTTTTTGGAATTAATCATATCTTTGAAATTTGAATAACTCAGTGAGAGGGGAGACCAGTATGTTTGCATGTATGTATATAAAAAAATATTTATTGGACCAAAAAGTAGTGGGTAGGCACTGTGGCCAATGGTAATCAACTATTACCACCTCCGCATGGTTGTAAGCCATGCAGAGTCCGCAGAAGACTCCGGAAGCAGTGTCCGGAGGACGCATCAGACTAGGCCGAGCATACTTTGAACTGCCATCAAATTAAAACTTAAGAGAATTTTATTACATGGCAGTTGAGAAGTGCATGTACATAAATTTCATTAATTTAATGAAGGAAATTTTTGCACATGCAGCAGTACATAGCACGCATTTAGGCGCCTGGTGTTTGCAGTCGCGTCTAAACAAAACTACAAAGTCCTTTTAAACAAATCGGACTATTTGTAACTAAATGCTGGCTAGTTGCTACCAGTTTGAAACCGACTAAGTGTAGAGGGTATTGGAGGATTTGTGGTCCTTCGGTAAGACCGGAGTTCGATTAGAATCAAAGACGATAGAAAAATGGAGTTCAAATATATACATATGTACGAACTCGTACAAATTTATGTCGATGTACAAAATTTGCAAGAAAGAGAGTTGGTGGTAGCCTAAGAAAGACAGGCCCCAAAAATACTTAAGTGAAGCGTTGATTATGGCCATATACTTAAATTATAAAAAAAACACTGTACCCTGTCAAACGGTAACAGCACTGAAACTCCTCGTGGCGGATTTAATGACTGGGTCCCCAACAGAAGGGGCCCAGTGCTCTCATCACCAACTAGCTCAAGTGCAAATTGTTATGTTGTACTAAACTTACAATAACAACAACGATATTAAAAAATAAAACAACGGTTCAAAAACACCCCATCTCAAATCGCAGCTCACAATGTCCGGATATTTATATCCACGTGTCCATTGGGTAGTGCGCAAACACGTTTGGGAGCAAGCTTAAGTAAGTAGACGCGTGCGCAGGGTTTGGGTCCCGTCACGTTAAAACCCCACCCAATGAAAAAGGAAAACATGCCTCGACATGATGACGGCCACAGCAAACGTATAAAGGACCTTGATTTGAGGGTATACACCTTGAATAACCGCACCCTTAATGGGGAAGGTGCCTCTGCCCGGCTGGTTGATGTCCTCGGCGAGATGAAGCCTGAGACATCACCACCATCGAAGAAATGTAATGGACATGGCAATGAAGCATGGAGCTATGCGACGTCTAATACAGTTGGCACGTAAAGGGGCGCAAATTCGGTGGTGGATTTGTGGTGGGAGAGACACTCCGTCGCCGTCGCATCAAAGCGAGATTCTTCCCATGCCCCGATGGCAGAGAAATGCCAGACGTCCAAAGATCTATTTTATAAGCGCTTGCTGCGTACATATGAGCGCTGCCACCGACATGATCTAAAAATCGTGCCTTGCGATTTCAATGCCAAGGTGGGGCTGAGGCTGATCGACTTCGGAGGAGCCCCAAACATGGTATAATATAGTATGTACTAGGTTCTAGCATTAAAAGATCCAACAAGCTATATGGCCGTCTCCAGATCAAAAATCGAGAAACCAGATCGACCATGTTTTGATGGTTTTTTCCGTTCATTACGTACCGCCGCCAAGAAAGTAGTCGGATTTCAACGTGCCCTAAAGAACAATTGGTACGATGAGAAGTGTCAAGAAGCTGAAGGCAGAAAAGATACCACCTACAGGGTGCGATCAACGCGAGCCAAGTGGGAACATGCGGGACGCGAGTCATGTGGGATCGTTAACGAATATCGCCGTACTTCTTTTGCAGAAAGATTAGTGGCAAACTCAGTGAATTTAGATTCCGCAATGGAAATTTTTTCTGAACAAAATGCAAGACGCGGATTCAAAGTTGCTTAGTAAAACCGTTCTGTATTCAGTAAAAATTTTTTGAAATACCGAAAATATTTGTTGGTTTATGATATCTGTGAATAACAAAACTGGGCCCGCGAAGAGAAAGCTAACTGGACCCTTTTTCTTAAAACCGCCACTGGAAACTCCAGTGAAGAATGCAGTCAGACGAACGTATGCTGGTTGACTGCAATTTAAATGGGCTCCACAAGAAAGGTGAAAGTGTTCATGCGGTACCCGCTGCAAACGATCTCTGCTATGGAAAGATCAGGTGGAGCAGGACTTAGCTTCATTTGGAATTTCCCACTTGTATGACAGAAAATCGCTTACGGCAAGCATATCTTCGTAGATTAGCAGAGAAAGAATAATTTTGGCCAGAAACCAAATATAAATCTTTTTCTTAAATTTTTTTTGAAATATATTCGGCGAACTGAAAACCGAAGAATTTTCGGGGGAACTCATATGACAGTCCAATATTATTAAGAATAAAGTTAAATTTTAATGACAATTTTTTAATTCTGACAAATATGTGTATAACCAGCCTTATCATGAGTTTTATCTTCTCCGAACCGGTTCACTTTTCACTTTTGGTTTCCATGGTTTTACTATGGGCGGATGACAAATTTTCGGGTTATTTTTTTTTCAGGTGAAACTCTTAAAAAAGAACAACCAAAATAACAACATTCTCGTACAACTGCAACTATTGATATCTACGCACTTAATAAAATTGAATTTTATTTCAATTGGACACGTATGCTTCACCTCTTGTTCGCAACAAATATATATACACATGCTAACATACAGCGTAGACCAACCCCTCCGCCTAGTCCACCCCAACAATCGAGCAATACAGCTTCTATTCCTGTTGCAAATTCACACTCACTTATTTACTTGCTGCTGTCAGCTCCTTTGGGAGTTCGGTTTGCCTTGGCTGGATGGTTGGCTGAGTGTCTGGCCACTGTGGTAAACACAACAATAATCGCCTTTCGCAATACATGTCTGCTGTTGGTTGTCGGTGGTGGGTGGTATTCATTCGCATTTACCCGCTGATTACCGGTATTGCATATTTTGCCGGTAACTACTCGTTTATCGTCTGCTATACTACCTTTCTTGTGAAAATGTTTGTACATACGTATCTATGTAGATATGTGTGCTCGCAGAACATTTGTGCGGTGTTTCCTACACACTTTCGCATTTCTCAGATTTTATTGCTCAATTACGTTGAAAGCTTCCAATCAACAGGTATTTTTGTGGCTTCACAGCGCATTGTATGGCCAGTTGGCCATTAATATTTAATTTATATGACCTTTGGGAATGGTGGTCATCGGCAGTTTGTCAACGAAATGTCATAATCAAGGTGGATGTGTGAGAATTTTTGATTAGGAAAAAATACAGATATTTACATAAGTACTTACATATGTGTGTATATAGTACCCACGCAATCATTCTTAACTTGCGTCAACTTTATACTATATAAAACCGTAAACTGTCATATAATCTCTAGAGCCTATAGGATCTAGTACCTAGACTTTCACAAGCGTTATTCTGGCCTGAAGTGTTATTGCAAATCAGACGATTAGGCTACTCGGCTTACTAAAAATATTTCTCTCGAGCAGGGTTGGTGGATGGGTATTGTCTTCTGTTGAGAGCTTTCCCTCAACACTTAAGTTCAGTCTTCCGTACTGCTGCAGTGAATTTTAGGCCAAAGTGGCTGCTATTAGGAAGGCAGTGAATTCAAAGCTCAGGAGCGCGATGACAGCTGGGGAGGGGAGCATTTATTCTGATAGCCAAGCGGGTCTTATGTGCCCTAGAGCTGCGCTCTAATTTAGCTAAGTACAGTCTGCTCTCTCTCAGTTGTATTAGGCTCATCTGGGTACCGGGACAAAGCGAAATTGCTTTGTGGTTGACGAATTGTTTAGGAAAAGTACCCTTGAAACTTTATCAGCGGATAAAGAGCGGCTGAGGTGCCATTGATTACCTGTGGTACAGTCTTGAATAGATATGATTCATGACAGCTCCACAAGCACCGAGAGCTGACAGGAGGCAGTCGAGGACATTCCTCACACTGACAAAGCCACAACACTCACTCTTGGTGGGGGTCTTAACGGGCCACTGTCTAATCGGTATTCACACCCTGTAAGGATGACCATATTACGTGTGCCTGGAAGATGACGAGGTGGAATCACCTTAGCACTACTTTCTTTAGTGCCAGGCATTCGCGCGTCTTGTATTAAAATTCTGTGGTTCCCACATCCTTAATAGACTTGAAAGGCTCTGGGACATTGAGATGAGTTCAATTCCTTATATCTATAAAGCAATCGAAACAAAATGAAGAAGGTCTGCAAAAACAAAAGATGCGCATACTGGCGCCAAAAAGAGTGGCGGTCATTTTTATTAGTTTGGCCAACTACTTAATAGTTCTGTATTTAGCATCAAATAATTTATAAGATGAGGCTTAACAAATCTGAAGACAATTTTCCAAAATTGGAAATAGCGAATCTCAAATGGCGTCCAAGATTAAAAAAAAATTTAACATTTTTAAAATTTGTTATTTAGAGGTTCTTAAGTTCGCTTATTACAAACTTTAAACTAGTTTATCAAAATTCAAAATGGAAAATCTAATACTCGTATGGCACCACTTTGACAGCTTTCTCATATTTAAATAAAGTTATTGAGGTTTGAACTTTGAAAATAACAAATTTCGTATTAAATAAAAAAAAATTTAAATTTTATCTTTTGGGGCTAGGTAACAATTTTTGGGCTGAACAAATAGCAGACGCCTTCAACTATTCCATATTTACGAGCGCTAAACCGTCTGCTAAACACCCAGCAATACCATTGTGTTACAGAACTGCAAGAAAGTCACAAAAAGCACAATTTTTATGATTTTGAGATTTTAAAGAAAATGAAAAAATACTTAAAAGTGACATAGAATTCAAGATCATAGAGTTTTGAAACGTAGAAGGTTTAACTTTGGCAAATTTTCCTTATTTCTACAGAAATTAACGGCGGTAAAAATTTCAATTTGACATAATTAATAAGATTTTCTTAGTTTTAGAGAAATTTACGACCCAATCGACAGCTGCCAACTGTCAAAGTTTTAAATTCACCTACAATTCGTGATTAATGTTTCTAAAAGCCTAATCAGTGGCATTTGAAAAAGATTTTCTTATTCTTAGAAAACTTACTATCCATTTGACAGCTGTCAACTGTCAAAGTGTTAATTTGACACAAAAGTTTTGACCACTGTGTCTAAAAACTTTATCCGCGGTATTTTCAAAAAGAGTTTCTTATTTTTAAAAAAATTTACAGTTGATTTGACAGCTGCCGACTGTGAAACTATAAATTTTAAGGCATTTTCGAATCTAGCATAAAATATGGCCTCTCCGACCACTGTGTGCCGAATATAAATTTTTATATTATTAGTTTTGTCATTGACTTGAGCCGAGCTATTAGGTTTATAACAAGAAGTATAAGTTTTATAATACTCATAAATTTATGAATTTCAACATTTCACGTGATATTACTTCCAAAGTGAGTTGTACAAGTGCTATGTAAAAATATTGCGTGCGCCCGCACCATGGGTATCACAATAATATTGCTATAACTTTGGAAATACTTGTTGTGTAAACCTGAAACTTTCCCAAAATTTTCTTAGATATTTTTCTATAATTTTGCATTAAAACTAAACAAATATCAAACTTTATAACCACAATTTTTGCATTTGTAAAACCCAGCTCTATATTTTTTATAAAAAAGTTTAAAAATCCGCCATTTTGTTTTTAATAACTCTTAAGGACTGTGGGTAAACTCAGTTTCCTTAGAATAGTATCTAGTTTTTTCTGTAAAAAATTCAAATCAATCGATATAGCGAATTTAAGTGAAAATTTCGCAAAAATTGGCCGCTGTGAAAAATAAGTTTTTTTTTGGCTTTTTCGACTTGAAGGTATCAGTAAAAACTTTGTTAAAATTAACTGTAAATATATTTTGATGTAAGCTATCGGTCACGATTGGTTTGAACCGGTTACTTTGACCCAAACACTTTTTAATTTCTAGAACACTTTTTGGGGATAATCCGCAGGCCTAACCCCACGTCTCCACCTTCTACAGATTATGTTAAAAGAGCTGTGGTAAGACAGAAATGTCCGGTGGAGACCGCAAATTTCCACTATTAAACCATATCCCTCTTGCCGAATTTTTAAGCATCGCTGTCTTAACATCAGCTGTCATTTCGTAGTTTGACAACTCAGTTTTCATTTTGCCGCGCCATTTACATTGTGTACAGATCGATCTGATTGGCTTGATGCCATTTTGAAAATGATATATTAAGAAAGCAAGTTGCCCACATGAGAAAACGGGACAAAGTTAAAACATAAATTTGACAGATGTTCAGACACATTCAGTAGAAAATGGAGACGTGGGGTAAAGATACAATTTACTTGTGATTTGATTCGTCAACCAAATAAGAAAAAAAAAATTATTTGTATTTGTGATGATTGTACGATTCAATTTGATTCGTGATTTTTCAACTAGATATGTAATACGTTTTTTACGTAAAATCCCGAAGAAGGCACAAAAATACCGAAATATAATAATTAGTTGGTCTCACGAAACAAGTGACTTAATATTGCATCAAAGTTTACTGAGTTTACATGGACGAACTTAACTCGGTTTGTAGAACACTGGCTTGTACGCCGAAAATCACGGATTAAAATCTCCGTGGGCTAGAAAGAAGCCGTTTGATTATACATATAGAACATGTGGTGATCTTCGAAAAGTAAACTACTATCATTATAAATTATTGTTGCTTTGCATGTCATTCAAATTGCCCGAGCCAAATACAATTATTGATATACAGATTACAAAAATTGCACTTACCTTCTTTTAACACCTCTTTTCCATTTCCCTTTTTTTGTTTATATTTTCCAGCATAAAACCGAACATCGAAAAATTTGAAATCTCTAAAAACTATCAGGGCGGCTATGGTGGTTATGAGGAGATGGAAGAGCGCGACAAGATTGGCGATGGACCCGGTGGTGGCATACCATACGATGATGATAGACCCGATTCGCCAGCCTCATTTGAGGAAATCGAACGCCCGCCATTACGAAAAATCGACAAATATCTTAAAGCCGAGTGTCCTTGTTTGCCAGCGCGTTACACGATTGCGGTGATGGCATGCATAGGATTTATGATATCCTTTGGTATGCGTTGTAATATGTCGGCGGCGAAGCTGAAAGGCGAACACAATCATGTAAGTAAAATGATGAGAAGCAATGCTATTAAAATTAATATATACATTTGTATTTATGTATGTATGTATATGTGCACATAACACTATGCAGCAAAAACACAAAAAAAAAAAAACAAAAATTCCAAACATCAATAATAGTCGATTTCTTTACGAATCTATGGGGAAAAGATAGCAAAACTGCGTTTTTAATTTTTTGTCTTTGAGATCAGGAGTTTTTTTGAAGCACTTGGGAATTAAAAAAATATGATTTTTTAACAAAATTATTACAAAAACTCAGTGCAATGTAGAATAATATGGGCATCAAATGAAGGAGAAAATTTTGTAGAAATAAAAAATAATTAATTTTTTTCCCCATAAGGACAAATAAGTAGTATTGGAAATGACCACTTAATTATTTTTATTTTTTTAAGCTAATAAAGTTCGAAGGACGAAGTTCTAGGATGTGGCCGTGTTTCCTCGCTAGAAAAAAACCCTAAAGAATTCTGCTTGCATATACAGTGACTCAAACAAATGACCACGTGTTGATTTTCTTCATATATTCGTAAGGCTTTTCGAGCTAATTTTTTTGGTTATTTTTATATAAAAATATCGTCTAAGCTTTAACCAAAACTGTTTCAAACTTTATACAAAATGTAGAAAAGTTCAAAAAATTTTCATCAAAATTTCAACTTTTTATTCTGAATTTGTAAGGAAATTTTTGGGTATGCAGTTTTATAGCCGATACAATTTTAGTCTAATGAAGTGCAAGTTTAAAACGGCTAAAAAATCGTGCTGATTTTTGAGAATTTTTTTCGGTGACGGATTTTTGCGCTTTTTTTCATGTAAGTATGATTTTTTATGAAATAAAACGCGGGAGACCGTCTGCAACAAAATTTCAAAATATCAACGCAAGGTTTTGTAAATTGCGCTTGTTATATTAAAAAACCCGAAAATGTAGCCTAAAAAAAAAAAAAAATTTCAAAAATCAACGCGATTTTTTAGCCGTTTGAAACTTGCACTTCGTTGGACTAAAATCAGAGAAAAAGTTGAAATTTTGATGAAAATTTGTTCAATTCTCCAAAATTTTGTGTAAAGTTTGAAACTGTGATTCGGGTTTGATAAAGTTTTAGACGATATTTTGTTTTTGTCGACCAGGCACAATCAAGAGTTCCTGAAGATGACCTCAGATTGAGGTCGAAATATCGACAATTAAAATATCTATAGAACGAAAATTTGCGTTTTATTTAATTGCTGGGCCTCGAGCTTGTTAAAAATGATTCATAAGTTTTAGACGATATTTTTATGTATATAAAAATAACAAAAAAAAATTTAGCTGGAAAAATATTACGAATATGTAAAAAAAACACGTGGCCATTTGTTTGAGTCAGTGTATTTCAATGAATGGAATTCCATAAACAAGTACATTAAAAACTGAATCAATTATTTGAACAATTTTAGCCTTAAAACGTGACATTACTTATTCTTTCAATTGTCTCTTGAAAAACTGATAATTGTTTTTTTTATAATAACTTTGGCAAGTTTTCAAGTTTGTTCATGTTAGAGACCATGGAAGTTGGCATCAAATACAACATATCCGTGATATTTCAATAGTGTGCCACCAAATTAAAAAAAAAAAACGGGTAGTTAATTAAGAGTAATATATAATGAATCCTAGCATTTTTAGGCCCATTTTTAATTAATTTTCTGAGATACGAGGTTTCACCAAAGTACCGTCGATATGTTACATACACAACTACGAGTATTGGAGCAAGAGTGGTTATTTTTACTTTTTTAGTATATCTTTTTTAGTTTTTAATTAAATACAATTCAGCGAAGGAATATTTTTCTTTATGCAAAACTAAAGATAATGCATTGTCCAAGATAAGCGCGCCACCATTTTTGACCAAAAAGACGTTTTTGTCGAAAAATGTAATAACCCCTTTGCTAAAATTATCGTATATACAATTTGTTTCGAAATTGACCGCTTGATGCAAATTTGTTCTACACTCCACAATGTATAACTTGGTAAAATATTGTGGCTAAAATTCCTATAATTACGCCAAAAATTTACTGTTTATTTTATCGTATGCTACAATGCATTATTTTCTAGACGGCGAAATTATCGTATGTGCCATAAAAAAATATTTTGAACATAGTTCAAAAAAAAAAATAAAAAAATTAAAAAAATTTTGAAATGTAGAAAAAACGCTCTCCTGTTGGCTTCTGGCACACACGATAGTTTTGCGCAAAGGGGTCGATATAATTTTTTCAAAAATAAATATTGCAAATTTTCAAGGATATTCCCTTTTATTTGATGCCCATATTATTATTCAACCAACTAGCACTGAATTGTTTAAATAATTTTTGAATTAATCGTCTCTTTGAAATTTTAAAGTCCTTTAAAAAAATCCAAACGCCAGAGGGCAAAACTAAAAGCTCTTACTATTTTTGGTACCTACTTTCGCGAATATATTGGTTTGTTAGCATGCAAAATTGACTGTTGCACGGTGTAATATTTAAAGTTAATATGTATGTATGTATGTATGTATGTAAGTAGGTTGAGATAACCCACTGGGAAAATAGTTGAGCACCTTGCGAGGTAAGCCATGTTTTCTTTCAGTTTTTAGTACCAAAATTGTCATCATGGCCAAAGTCATCTACTAGTAAAGGGCAAAATGAACACCTCCGAATACACATTACGTTGTCAGTTGCAAAATAACGTGCAGCCGAAGATATTTCCAAGCACCGAACTACTCCGAGCGACTGCTCTGCATTACACGTAACTTACTTTGTAAAGCGGCTCAGAAGTATGTCTGATACCAAATGTACATTCTAAATTCCTACTTACATAAGGCGGCCATGCCTTTGTAAAAGTAAGGGACGTTCGGCAGGGAAATGGTAATGACTGCCAGGTGAAGAGTAAGTTGCTAATGAGGTATTATTACGTGCTCCTAATTCCCACTGGGTAAATACATACATAAGTATGTTTTTGTTTGGTGGTATGAATCATAATGTGACCAACCGTACTTCTTTCGGAAGTACAGTACTTCTTTTTGAGCCGTTGTACTTCGTACTTCGAAGTACAGTCAAATGTACTTCTTTGCAAGGTTTTGTACTACCCAAGGCACATTGGAAAGGTAGTATCAGTGGAGCAGCTGATTTGATTTTTTTTCTTTTCAAATTATTCGGTCTCTAAAATGTCAAATGTATTTAATTTTTTCTCACAAAAAATATAAATTGTCAAAATTTTTTTCTGGAGAGACTTCCCGATATTCTCTAACTCCCAAAAGAAATTTGAAATAATCCCACATTTATTTAAAACAGTTATAGGTGGCAATTATGTTTTAAGTTTTCCAGCTTTTTAACATCATATAATTTTTTATATATTATATATGTATATTATATATATATGTATTATATATATATGTATTTAAATTAAAAAAAAAAAGTTGTTCAAAAATATTACTCCCAGCATACCAGCCGTGTCCAATAATAGACCGAAAAGGGGGCTTTGCGCGATTTTTCAAAATGTTCTTAATTTTGTTTATAATTAAAAAGTACTAAAGTGTTTTCATGATTTCTTTTTATTGAAAAAACGCCAGATACGGATAATAGAAAATATGCCGTACTGGCGTTTTTCCAATAAAAAGAAATGATGAAAACACTTTAGTACTTTTTAATTATAAACAAAATTAAGAACATTTTGAAAAACTGCAAAGCCCCCTTTTTTGAAAACTTCTAAAGTTAGAGAAAATTAATTTCTTATGCATTATGGATTTAGAGGTAAATGCATTTGAAACTGCCATAACGGCTTTTTTGCGGTGTGCCTTTTCAAGAATATTCGGAAACGACGATCAGTTTCTTCTTGATTGAAAATTTCTGTTTCAATTCACAGACTAGATAAAAAAAACAAGATAACAAAAACACACTTGGACTCCCCTCTCACTCCATATTCGGAATGCTCAGAAAACGCGCTTTCAAGGTGTTGCTGCGCGCGTCCTTTTTTACTCCATATTCTCTGTCTCTGTACGATTAGTAGATCGCTGGAAATGAGTGCCTTGTCTTAGAATAATAAATAGTATAGATTTGTGATTAATAAAATTTATTTGTTGAATTGGTACACTGTTACCGTTTTTGTATATTCTGCTTTCACCATTTACTCATTGCTTTCATACTATTTTTTGGTTTTCAGTTTGTGTAATTCTTTGAGCTTAGAAATAGTTGGTCACATTAGGCGTGATCCACACGCTCTGCCAATGACTTCGACATCATTGTTAGGCAGCTAAAATTTAACTAATTTGTAAAGTCATACAATTGTTTGCGAATGCGTGTGTGAGTGTATTTGCGACATGAATATCTGTCAATTAATTTTTGATGTTTGCGAAAAATGCCAGCGGCCGTCCAAAGTCACGTTTCAAATTTCGACATGTTGGCATTCGAAGAATTACTGGAAGCTGCCAACTAAAAATTTACCTACTTGCCTCGTGCTGCGCTTTTCACTTTCGAAAGTCGATATTTCATATTTCACAAAACAGAATTCATATTTTCACCCTCTTCTTTTCTTCCTCATTTTCATGTTTTCTTTTATATTTATACGTTTTGTAAATGTTTTGCAGATTTCTTCGTTGGTTATGAGGGCGTAATTCCGTCACGCTCGTTAATAATGGCTTCAGGGCTTTATTTGGTTATTTGGATTCTCGGCTGGCGCCAACTTTTGCGTCAGCAACAGGATGTTTTCTGCACTTATTTTCCGTTTCGTTCACATCCTCACTCACTTCTAACTCTCATTCTATCCTCATTTTTTTTTTGCAATTCGTTTTGTTACTTGCATATGCCTTTTGTTGCTATGCACTTAGCTTTCGAAATTCCACATCATTTGTTGCAAATATGCATTGTGGTTTGATATACATACTCTTTTCCATTTCAATGTGGCGCACTTGAATGCTTCGAATTTGTTTGTTATCCCGTTTTTTTTTT